AAATGAACAAGTTACAAACGATTTACAAATTAATTCATCGTTTGGCATGAGGGTCACATCTCCCCACATCACCGCGCGGCAAGACTCGTCAACACGAGACAATGAATCTCAATAGGAGCTCTCTCAGCTGGTGGTTAAATAAAGGACCTCAAAAACAGGAGACAATCTCAATGGGGTCTGAATCTCGGAGTGAGTTAATGAAATTTGGGATTGAATCTCCCGGTTAGACCGGTAATCACAGAGCGTAGTCCAACCGGTTCCTCAACTGAAGGCCACGGCAGCATTGCTCGCATACCACTCACGAACCTGTCTGTGTTGTTCACTCACCTGAGAGGTACGCGCCTGAAATACCAAACAAACGATCCCAGTTTAATTCTAGATTTTAAGCTTTCGTGCCTGCAAGGATTCATACTCTTTTCGGTAAAGCCACGTAGGTAAAAATAAATCATAAATAATATTAAACAATAGTTTCTTGCTGTGGTTGTCCCACCTGATGACGGACGCTTGTGTTGTGCCCGAAACGTCGTGATTTATTATTTTATTTCTACTTTTATTATTTATTTTTCCCCTACGTGACTTTACCGAAAAAACCTAAGAGTACGACCCCAGTCTGACTTCTACTAACAGACTGTCGGTACTCATTTGAGGCTGAGTCGACCTTAGGGCAGTCCCGGGACCGGCTCAGATCATCGTCACCCGCGGGTGTTGAGCCCCGAGCGGGAATCGAACTCGTCTCGCCGGGTTCGTTCCGCTACTCGCTGCCACTGCCGCTCCGCACACACAAAGTGCAAAGATCAAAGTTCTCAACTCGCCCAACTGCACAAAAACAAAGATCACCCACGTAGCCTCTAACAGACTGCAGGGGCAAGTGCTGTTAGCGAGTAGCAGCGCCTGTGAAGGCTACCGGCACTGTGGCACACGAGGGGGTGGGTGGGTAGCACCACGCCCGGCCGCCTTTGTCTCCCTAGTGGCGATGTTTACGAACATTTGAGGCTGAGTCGACCTACACACACATCGCCTCGCACGCTTTGGGATGCGCTTCTGCGGCCGTCTGGAACGCTCTTGCTTGCGATATTGGGACGCCACTTTAAAATCATCTGGATTGAGCACTCATTTGTTTAGAACTGAGTGCTGTTGCTGTGCTTAGATTGGTGTCCTTCACACGCAACTCCGATTAGCCGTGGTTGGCTACGTACGGTGACTGTGACGTCACCACGTCGCCAGTGCCAGGCTAGGTGCACTTACACACACACTCAAACACACACTTACTCACACTCGCACAATTACACACTCACACACTTGCTCACACACATTTACACACTCACACACTTGCACACACTCAACAACAACAACAACCGCCATTCGCCACTAAGTGGCGGTGACGTCACCACGATGCTTGTGCCAGGCCAAGTGCACCTTAAGGCCACGTGAAGTGTCGAACGCCCGCTGGCAGGAGATCACGGGGCAGACCCAGGTGCCACGGATCGACTGACCGAGATGACTGGCTGATGCACCACCTTTGCCCCCTACTGTACCAACTTGCTGTGCTTTAGCCACCCCCGATCTTGACACCGCTGGTACCAGTCATCGGCCAGTCCACTCAGCTCCACGTCCTCCTGTACCACATCACTCCATCTCTTCTCTAGCCTGTGCCGCGCCCGTTTAGCCCCCTCGATCCGGCCGAACAAAAGCTGTTTAGGCATGCGGTGGCTGGGCATGCGGGCTACATGACCCAGCCAACGCAGCCTTGCCTGCCGGAGGAGCTCACCGATGGGACTTTGCCCAGATCTTTCCAGGATTTGTGAGCTCCTCACACAATCCAGCCTGACACACACACACTCACACACACACACTTACACACACACACACTCTCACACACTCTCACTCTCACACACTCTCACTCACACACTTACACACTCACACACTTACACACTCACACACTTACACACTCACACACTTACACACACACTTACACACTCACAAAGAGTTAAATCCTCACCGTTGTTAGCCCATGTCACAGCTCCGTGGGGTGAACGATGATGATTCGATGCACGTGTTGAGTGGCACCGCGTGTGTGTGTAGAGTGTGCGAGTGTGGCTGTCACTTCTAGATTTGAAGCTTTCGTGACTGTAAGGATTCATATTCTTAGGTTTTTTCGGTAAAGTCACGTAGGTAAAAATTTAAAATTAATAATTTGAATGTTTTACCTACGTGACTTTACCGAAAAAAATCTAAGAATATGTGGCTGTCACCTCTGCGTGAATGTGTGGCTATCACTGCGTGTGTGAGTGTGGCTGTCACCTCTGCGTGTGTGAGTGTGTGTGTGGCTGTCACCTCTGCGTGTGTGTGTGAGTGGCTGTCACTGCGTGTGTTTCATAGCACAGTGGGTGGTGCTACCTGCCCCGTCACACTCTGACAGCCCAATGGGTGCTTCACCCCCCACCCCCTCTCCGTGTTAGACGACTGTGACTCAGAAGGAAGTGAGATGACTCTGGGGTTCTCTAGTCCAAGGGGTGGGTGGAGTACAGCACAAACAACGTCACAGATGTTAACTTTATTGTTTGGGTCTTTCGGTAAAGTCACGTAGATAGCTTAAAAGAAAATAACAAAAAACTAAAAATAGAACGTTTCGATCGCTTGTGTTGCGATCGAAACGTCGTAGTTTTTCTTATTTTCCTTGAACCTATATACGCGACTTTACCGAAAGATCCGAAGAATGTGAATTCCTGCAGTCACGAAAGCTTTAAGTCAAGAGATGTTAACCACCTCGCCTGGTCTACAGGAGGTCGTGGCTTCAATCCCGACCCTGACGCCTGCTGCTGTATATTTTTAGTTTGCTTGTTCACTCTCCCCGTGGTCGCGTGGATTGTCTCCGGGTCCTCCAGGTTTCCCCCTCCACATTCAGCATCGATGTCACCACGAGTTTGGAGTCTTTATCTGCTGATATCAACGTCCACGTGGTGATGATAACATCAGCCACCTAGTTGAGCTGCTATCAATTGTGATGACTAGGTCGCTTCTGATTAAAGCTACACAGCTCAGAGGGGTCTTACCTGGTCATCAAAACATAGTTTAAGTATAGTAATAGGTTTTAACCCTTTCAACTGGTACAAAAACTGACACCTTTATACAAGGCATCATGTTTGCAATAACCACAACACAAGCAGTCAAAATGCAAACAAAAAGAAACAACTCTGATGATGATAATGATATGCAGTGTCTTTGAAGTTGATTAGTCCACACCCGAGACAGCTTTTCTTAGAGCCTAGTCTCCATTGGTGTTGGGACAGATGACGCCAAAAGGCGTACAACTCAAAGACAGCGCACTATCATAGTATTGAGAGCTCGGGGTAAGCATTTACACTATGAGACCTCCTTTACCAGTGGCAAATTATAGTAATAGGTTGTTACCCTTTCAACTGGTACGAAAACTGACACCTTTATACAAGGCATCATGTTTGCAATGCTTGTGTTGTGGTTATTGCAAACATGATGCCTTGTATAAAGGTGTCAGTTTTTGTACCAGTTGAAAGGGTTAAAACCTATTACTATATTTTGCCACTGGTAAAGGAGGTCTCATTGTATAGTTTAAGTATTTTAGTAAAACATTAAACTCATCACGAGACATCCTGAGGCTGTCTCACGTCTCCCGAAGTCACAGGGAGCAGCACCCAGGGACCTGCAGACCGCCATGGTCGTGGTAGTGAGGAGTGACGCGTCGCTCGTGTGAAGTGCACAGAGAGTCTGTGGCGGAGTGCTTGAGCAGACCGAGAGAGCCACGGCAGAAAGGACTACGACGCCATGGCGGAGGTGACGGTGGTGAAGGAGGGCTGGCTCTACAAGCGTGCTGCAAGCTTATTGTAGAGGTGGTTACGGGAAGGGAAGCGGATAAACACACAGGGGTGTCTACATCCACACACAGAGGTGTCTACATCCACGTCTGCAACGGTTAACTCTGGGGGGCTATGGGTGGCGCTGTGATCCCCCATAGCCCCACCCCTCGGTGGCGATTGGTATAAAAGGCGGGGAGCCAGAGGGCTCAGGGTCCAGTGTGAAGCTTTAACCAGCGAAGACTGAAGACCGGCAAATAGGCCCTGGAACTCCCCTGGCTCGCTGTCCTTCTCAGGGCCGGGCAGGGCAAGCCAGTGGCGCAGCCCTTAGAGCCTCAGGACCGATGTTCTTGTAAGAGCCGGTCTGGTCGGCTGGGTGCCGGGATCCGTGCTTAACCAGGGCCGGATCAGATAGCCTCCCCTTGCACTCTTAGCGGAGGACTGGGAGTAGATCAGTCGGGGATAGTGCTAGGGGTGTATTCCTGTTGAGTACGGGTGAAGGGGCCGTTACCCCTTCAAGTGTTGTGTTACTGCCCCTTGGTTTAAAAAACAAGTGTGCCTCGACTATGTCGTCTCTGTCTCGCTGAGAACCCACTACAACATGACTCGGGCGATGAGAAATCAGGCGCACAGGCCGACAGAGAGGGAACTGCAGACCACGCTCCGCTCGCTGTCCTACAAGCTCGAGGATATGAGCCAGAGGTCGCAACCGGGTACCCGATACCCATACCCTACCCGATACCCGGCTACCCGTACCCGGCCAGGTACGGGTACCCATTTGCGACCCTGGTGCGGCCGGGTACGGGTACGGCTAAGGAATCAAAACCCGTTTGCGACCTCTGCTCAACTCTACAAACGGCTACCCTCGTTACTTCGCGTCCATACTTGTTGTTCAATTTGCCACTACACCTAATGAAACAGCTTATAGACACTTCTACACTCCATCATTGTATCCTTTTAAACCCTATCTTTGTCCCATTACTTCACCAGCACTCCTTCCAAACTTCATTCTGCTCTTAAAAATATCACCATCTGCGAGCTGCTGCTATTCGTCCAAGGTTCGCCGCTCTTCATCCTTGAGCATCTTCTGGCCGAGTCTCCTCCCTTGGGATCTTGCGTCGGCTGAGGCGAGACATCCCACCGCTGCCACCAGATGAAGAGAAGTCGGAGACTGGTTAAGCACTTTTTTATTCTTCAAACAAGAGCCACACTCGTTCCTCAAAACCAACCACGAACACGCATATCACAGCCCCTTTTAAACCCTCCATCTCCACCCTGCTTCCTAATCCACACCTCTGTTTCGCGCGCCGTGTGCGTGTGACGTCAGTGCCCTTTAATCCCTTGACCCCCGTCTAGTGTATTCACGTGCGCGTGATTGGTGTGTGCTATGTTGAGTGCGGAGATTGTGTGTCCGTGCGGTGTGAGGATGGCTCGGACATCCCCTACACAGGCATACCTCGTATAGCGCTCAAGATGCGTTCTTGGTAAATAGTTGCTATAAGTGGTATGCCTGTATTTCCTACCAATAGGGGTAAGTCGTAATTGTAGCCATCACAATGACCCGTGCTTGTTTCTGGGGTCAAAATTCTTGCCGTTAACCCAAAAACAACTCAGCATCGTTGTTGTGGCTTTGGAATCTACGTTGTCGGGTTTTGCTGAAAAACATCTACGGAAACATGTGGGTAAATGGTGATAATGGGGTTTGGTTCACGGTTCCTAACGTACGATAGAAAGAAAAATGGCGGGCGGCTGAACCTCACTGCCTCCTCACTCGAGGCTGGAAACACCACGTGACCTGGGACCCCCAATGGGCCGCTTGAGAGACGAGACGGGAGACAAGATAGAGATAAGATGGAGATAAGACGGAGGTAAGACGGCACCCCGTGTGTTCTTCCGCGGCAGCATCATCGCGAGCAGTGCAGTTACAACGCGTACATACATCTCGTGATCAACCGCGAATGGTCCAGTCACAGGGGCACGATCGGCCAACTCCGTACCTCAAAACTTGGGACAAAACTGCACATCCGCGATAGCTAAACCCACGAGAGGGAAGAGTTTGCCGTACTCGAATATAAAAATATATTTTTTTCACAGAATATAATTCACCTTTCATCGTCATATCACGGCACAAGGAATCCACTTGTAAATGTTGCAGAGCGGTGCGACCCCGATGTGTGAAACAAACGGCTGTGAATGGGACTGGACCCGACTTGTCACAAGAATCCTTCGTTCCCTCAATACCTCCGCACATCTGGGCCCGCAATGCCTCGCACGATTTACCTTGAGACGTCGCACGGCAGCCAAGCAGACGTTTTAATTATCGGACAAAGAGGTATGATGGGACAAATTTACGCGATGGGTTTTGTTTTGTGCAGTCCATTGGTGACCGGGCTGAGACCATCAAACTCACTGCATTTGAGAGCCCAGTTTAATCACAACCATGTGTCTAAGTCTGAGGTTCTATAAAGTGTACTGGTCTATATTTTCATGAATGGGTCACTATATTAGCCATTGACATTCTGTGTGAATGGTTGGGTCTCTGTGTGAATTTATGTGTCCCTGTGTCCATTAGTGGGTCTTTATGCGCGCCTTTGGGTCTCTATGTGAATATATGATCTATATGTGAATATATGGGTCTCTTTGTGAATCTGTGGGTATCTGTGTGAATCTATGGCGTCCATGTGGATAAATGGGTCTATTTGTGAATCTATGGGTCTCTGTGTAAATTGTTACGGGGTCTCTATGCCATTCATTTGTGGGGCAGCATGACAATGCACCTTGCAAAATGGACGTAAAGCTACCACGTGTCTGGGAGGCTCAACCGTGACACGTGGTCAGCTGGTTGCCCCTCTCTCCACCACCAGCAACGCCCACATTTCTATAGCCACGCCCACACAGTTGAGGTCTCGCGTTCTACATCAACATTTTCAGACGGTCCAGACCAAACCAGAACTTTGGTAGCTTTGCGTTAACCTCACGAGGCATTGCGGTTCAACTTCACATCGCTGCGTTGCCGGCGTCTTGATCATTGGCTCTATGAGGGTTAGTTTCTAGCGGTGATGAGTTGATTAGTACAACTTGCTGTATAAGTTAAGGTGGCTTGGGACTGGTTGGCTGAACTTCTGGGTTCTCTAAGTTGAGGTCTCACATTCTCCTTCTTCATCGTTTGGCTCATCTCCTTGCTCTGCCGGTGCAACTTGACCTGTTTCATAAAGAGAGGTAAGCGATGAGTGCGTGATGAGGCTAAGTGAGCAGTGTAGGATTGTGCAATACGTGCATAGATAACGAATGCAGGTACGTGTACAACAGCCATTCACAACAAGGCAGTGACGTCACAACCGCGCTTGTGCCATGCTAGGTGCACTTTGAGGTTCCGTGATTTGTCAAAGGTTCCCTGGCAGGAGGTCACGGAACAGACCCAGGTCTCGTGGGTTGACCGAGATGGCTGGCAGATGCGCCACCTGTGCCCCCTACTGTGACAACTTTCTGCGCTTTAGCCGCCTCCTCTGCCATCCGTTGTTGTTGGAGGGCGACTGTCTCCAGCTGCTCAGCAGCGTCCTTCACGAACCTCCTGCACAGAGGCCGATCTTGACACCGCTGGTACCGTTCATCGGCAAGTCCAATCAGCACACACACACGCGCCCAGTGTGCTACTAAAATACCGCACTAATTCTTGGGTGGATTTCCCCAGTCATTATACATTTTCTAAAAAAATTTAAGTTCTATGAAGACCAAACGAAGCAATGGTATTGCTTTAAAACATCATAACAGAACAATCGATCATGCACCAAAACGTAAAAAAACTATTATTGACTCGAGCTGCGAGCCCGAATTTAAGCAACTTGTTGAGCACTCCCTTCTCTTCCCAGACAGTCTGGAACATCCTTCTCGCATTCACAACCTCCAAGCAGTGCCGGATTATCCTAGTAGCAAAGGTAGCATATGCTACTTATCAGTGTCGTATTATCCTCGTAGCAAAAGTAACATATGCTAGATTTGAAGCTTTCGTGACTGCAGGAATTCATACTGCTAAATTTAGCATCCATCTCGGTGACCTCGGATTAGCGGAGGTGACCTCGGATTAGCCGAGGTGACCTCGGATTAGCCGAGGTCACCCACCCCCACCCTCTCTGTGATTACATTTACTTGCAAATTCCATCCCTAGTCTGGTTGCAGTAGCTCTCTCGCTACATTTCCTCCTCAGCAGTCCGCCCGCTGTATTGTTTCACTTGAAGACGATGGCTTGTGTTGCTATTGAAACGTCGTTTTTTATAAGTTATTTTTTCTATCTACGTGACTTTACCGAAAGAACCAAAGAGTAGAATATGCTACTTATCAGTGTCTTATTATCGGAGTGCTATGGGCCCCGCACTTTCATTGCCCCGCACTAAATGGTTTCAAGCTATCAATTCAGGTTCAGTGATTCTGCACTTGCTCTACTGTGATGTTTCCATCTTACCTGCCTGTTTCAGCTGTTATTTACGACTCTCCGAGTACATCACCAGGCTAAATATCTGTGAGGCAGCCCAGGCACAGCATCCCCTCCACCTCTGGTGGATGGGACCTTCCCACATTGACATGCTAATCTCTCACATTTACATTTACGTACAAATTCCTTCTCTAGCTCTGCCCACTTTCCCTTGGGTTGAGCCCACCAACAATCCGATATAAACTTCTTGTTGCAGCAGCTCTTTCTATGTCAGCAGTTCTCCTGCTGTATCTATTCCACCTGATGACGGTTGCTTGTGTTGCGATCGAAACATCGTGATTTAATTAATTTTATTTTATACCTACGGGACTTTACCGAAAGAACCAAAGAGTATGCTCTATTACTATATTACTATACCGCCTTCGACTTTTATTAATCCACTGGGTGTTTAAGGTTAGCGATTTGTCGTATTATTTGGCTGTGCAACAAATGAAAACCTACAATCACTTTACTATGCAAGTTAAAATGTGTGTTTTTTTATTTCCAGCCTCAAGCACCCGGCTCATGAATCAAAGTCACTTCCCGTGCCATGACAAACTTGTGTGACGAACACAACGGTCCCCCATGATGTAGCCTTGACCAGTCAGTCGAGGCAAGTGCTGCTAGCGAGTAACACCTCGAGAGGGTGATGTGGCCAGCACCACGCCCGGCCGCCTTCGTCTCAGCAGTGCTGGCGTTTAGACAACGCAGATAGGTTAGGGAATTGAACCCAGGTCTCTGGTTCTTAGCGCAGTGCACGCACACAAACACACACACAGGAAGAATGACCCTGATGAGAGTGGATCCTGCTTCCGGCCTCTCTCGCTCTCACCTCGTCTTATCCAACTGGGTCCATTGGCTGCATTTCTTGAAGCCTGTTGAGAGAGAAGTGAACACGCGTCGTTCACACATCACCACCCTCGCCCACCTGCAGCCTGTGTCACTGGCACGGCTGGGAGTCTAACCCATGTCTCACACCTGCCTGGCACCCGCATGGAACCACTGACCACAGCAATCACAGACCCTGATTTGACAGACATGCTTTGTTTAACCAGGTGAGAGCCCATTGAGACCATTGTCTCTTGTGATGTATTTTATTTAACTACATGAGAGACCATTCAGTTCACCATCTCCTATGACTGACGCAGTCTCACATCACCACCCCCACACATATGAAGCTCCTGTCACTGACAGCAGCCACGGCTGGGAGTCTAACTCAGGGTGCCCAGCTGCCAGGAGCTCCCGCAGGCTCCACTGAGCACACCTCTGAGTCACGAGCAGGCAGGGAGCTGGAGTCAAACTCAGGCCCTTGGAGAGGGCCGGCTCAGGGTCTCTGGTGTGGCCATTATGAGCCGTGTTCTATCACTCACTGTGAGGTTCTGGTGCAAGTGCGGTTGATACTCACGGGGCTTCTGCTTCTCTTAGCTGACTTTGTCTCTTTTTCCAGCAGTAAAAACCAACTACAGCAGCAACCAGAAGAGCAGCAATGACTCCAAGGACGATGCCAATTACAGGTGATGGAGCTGGGGCTGAGGTTGGGTTTGCGGTTGGTGTGGGTGTTGCGTCTGTCAGTTCTATTAAACACAAACGCAGACGACACAGACACACGTGAACACCCAAGAGATGCACACAGTCAACGTCTTCTTCCTCTCCCTGCCATGTCCCCCTCCTCTCGTGCGGTCTCTGCCCTGCAGCTCCTCCTGCTCTGCTCGTTGCTGCCTTGGGCCACCTCCGCGTCTACTCCCCAGTCCCTCGAATCCGCCGCATTCGCCACTTCTACTCCCCTCACTCTCGGCCTGCCCCTCTGTCTCTGCCCTGGTGCCTCCACGTTCATCGCCCTCGCGGTTGCCCCCTCCTCTACTAAGGCAGCCCCAGCCGTGTGAGCCGACTCCCTCTCTCCGCTCGAGTGAGATGAGCACCGCCACTCCCGACTCCTTCCCCAGCTCTTCAGTTCTGACCGATCCAGTCCTGTGATTGCTGAGATCCATCGCACCATCCTCGTTTCTGTGCTGCTCAACGTCTGCTCATCCTGGTTGTCAGGAGGAGCAGACGCGCTGTGGCTTTATCGAACGCGCATTCTGGCTCTACACGATACACCTAATGAGGCCTGTTTTCCAGCACACGGGGGTGATGTTTCGGCTGGACGCTGCTAAGACTCTCATCTCCTTGTCGAAAAGTAGTGCCGTGAGGATGCTGCATCCATTGCAAGGTGTGAATGAATCGACTGTAAGAGCCATTTAATTACCACGCATCTTTTAGTGTGCGTGTGTGTGTTTTTGAGAGTCTTTCGTGTGAAAGAGTAACACACTCGACATACACAGCGATGCAACAGGAATATTCACACAGTGCCGCAAGCATCTCGCCGTCCAGTCTTTGAGGACTTTAGATGGCGAATCGGGGACAGAGTTGTGGGCGAGCGTCGAGCTGGGAAATCATTGTCAGGGGAGATTTATTTACCATGCATGTTTTAGTGTGTGTGGTTTTTTTGTGTTTTTCGTGTGAAAAAGTAACACACTTGACATGCACATGGCTGTGCCACAAAGTACATTTTCGTGGTAAATCTTGACAATAAAGAGAATTTGGATTCTTGCTTAGCGAGAGTGATAAAGCGGTGGGTGTTAAATAGATCCAGGGATGTCATAATGCAAACCTGGTTTATTGTGAACGTTCAGCTGCAGATACCCGATGTCTTCCATGCTTGGCTTGTCGTATCGATACATCGTGACCTCACAGCGATATCGTCCAGCGTCGTGGGTCTGGATGTTGCTGATGGTGATCGAGGCGTTACATGTCGACTTATCTCCCACCCAAGTCACCTGCATCGGCCCGAGGCTTCTCTTTCTGTGTGTAATCTTATACACCTAGATGGCAAACGTGAGAACACACCAGGGTATGACTGTGTGTCCACATAATACACGTGCTCATATTACGAAAACTGACATAATATGTAAATAACATTGAATTATAACAGATAAATATATAATACATCTAGGAAATGACTCTTCTTCAGAGTAGAGAGAACGGAGAGAATTTTAAACTATTCTGGTTGAAGATACAACACTATACTGCTGTCTGAAAAACTTAAAAGTTGACAATGGGACCAGAAAAGAAGAGGGGGTGACCTCCATTGAAATAAATTAGCATGAACGCCATTAATAAAGAACATGTAATCATCACTGTGAGCAGGAGGGTGTAAGTAATAGTGTGCAAGTGTAACAGTGACACACCTTCTCATCGTGTCCGCCTATGGTCCTGAACCACTCAACCAGCGTGTGTCTAATGTCCGTGATGTTGCAGGTGTAAGAGCAGGGCAGGAGAGCCGTGCTGCCTACTGTGGCGTCCTTTGCATCCGTCGTGACAACGGCCAGGTCTGTGGACAAACCCACAATGGTCACATGAGCAGTGGGAATGAACCTCTGGAGGAGGAGGAGGTGGTGCTGGTCTCAAAACGCAGTGGTGACAATAAGGACAGAGAAAGCGGGCAAATACTTTCCGTTAGACGAAGCATCTCTTTAGGTCTCTAGCAGAGCAGTGCAATGCTGCATGTTAGAGAACGGTCCACAGAAGGGGATATTTTAGAGCTGCCTTTGAGGTCCCTTCAAGTGGAGCCGAGGTGGTGAGATGTTAACTACCTCGCCTGGTAGACAGGGGTCGTGGGTTCGAGCCCAACCCTGACACCTGATGCTGTGTGTTTGGAGTTTGCGTGTTTACTCTCCCCGTGGTCACGTGGATTTTTCTCCGGGTCCTCCGGGTTTCCCCTCCATATTTAGAAAGATCTGTTAAGAGTATTTGGCTGCTATACATTTCCATATGAAAGCCACTTCGTTGTGCTATCATTTGTCGCTTCTGAAAAAGAGCCACATAGCTCAGTGGGCCTTACCAGGTAAAATAAAAAATTGTTTAGTTTAAGTGACATTGGATCCAGACAGCAGGGAGGATTATTTTCCGATAGTGCATTGCAAAATCGAGTAATATTTAACACGTAGGCTTTCGCAACCAATATCATCCATAAAATAGGTTTTTGGGGTTAGGTCGCGTAACGAGTTATCGAGAAATGTTTGTAATGTTTGATGCATGACTCTCAAAAAGACATACAGACAAATCTGTGCGATGTGGCTTTGTTGAATGCTTTTGATCGGTTTCCGGAACATCGGGGTGATGGTTCAGCTCTGCGTGGATTAACGCTAAGTTTATCATCTTCGTGTCAAAGGGAGCTGCATCCGTTGGAAGGTGTGAATGAATCTACCATGAGAACTATTTATTTACCACGAATGTTTTGTGTTTTTTTGTGTGATAACGTAACACGCTCAACATGTGCAACACAAATGTTTACATATTGCCACATGCATCTAGCCATCCAATGTCATACGAATTCCTAGATGGCGAATCGTTTAACGTTCAATTGACAGTGTTAGGGGCAAGCGTTAGGTGTGAGTGCCGTGGTATGGAAAGAAGAGTGGAAATGGAGGTTTTGTGTTGAGGCGATAGTGAAAACTAAAAAGTGCACACACACAAGAAATTAGTACAAAAACAAGCACCAAAATTATTTAGAATTTGTAAAACAAAGAGGAAGGGGGTGATAATTTTGGACCCAGGAACGCAACCATAGTTTTCCATTTAGGTATATTATTTGCCCAACGCGATTTAGCCCAACCCGCCATTTTCCAGGAACGTAACCTCCGCGTTGGACGAGCTCTGCCTGGTTTGTTTAACTGCCAAGAGCTTGGAATTAGCCAAATTAAGTGCAATGTCAGATAACCAAACATAATGTTATGATGTTAGCGTAGTACTATTTATTTATTTATTTAATTACTTCGCCTGGCTAATCCGTTGAGAACATCTGTTTACAAGGGTACCCAGGGGACCAGGCTAAGATGACAAACTCATGAGACTCTACATCCGGATTGTTTGCGAATTGAACACCGAAAGTAAAGAGTCTCAGGCAGGAGTTGAACCCAGATGCACTGTTTTCACACCGTACGTAGCCAACCACAGAGGTGCGGGGGAACGACAACAAACCAAACACGAAAGGCAAAGCGTGGATTTGTCGGGTGGATATTGAGTACTCGGTCTGGGCTACATGACAGATGATGGGAGTAGTGAGTGGTAGGACAGACCTATGATGGACGTGATACAAACCTGTTCGTGGGTGGACAGTCAGCTGTAGATAACCAATGTGGTATTGCACAGTTTGGGAAAAAACCGTGACCTCACAGCGAAATTGCCCAGAGTCGTGGGTCTGGATGTCGCTGAGGGTGATGGAGGCCTCGCACTTGGACACATCACCCACCCAGGTGGCCTGTAAAGACCAGTAGCTGCTCTCTCCATCGGCGTATTTATAAATCTGTGGTCAATAAAGGTAAAAGTAATACAGAGATCAAATACGTTATATTATTTCAGTACAACATTTGTTCAAATAAAACAAGTAAGATTCTGACTCCAGGACTGCGACTGGGCTGGATAAACTGTTGACAAAGGAGCTTCACGTGGAGACTGTTTTCAAATGACTGGCCCATGCCTGCGCCCAGTCACGTGACCAGGGGCCCTCGATCTGGATAGAAAATACCAAACCTGTTCATCTGCGTTGCATATTGTAAATGCTCAAGGGCCATGTGACCAAGTTTACTAACAAGACTGATCAATTCCACGCCTGCGCTTGCTGCAATTTAGCGGCAAATGGCGCACAGGACGGACATAGAAGTAACTCACCCTCTCTTCTCGCCCGTCGATGATCCTGTACCACTCGACCAGCTTGGTGGTAGCGCCGCTGATTGTACAGGTGTAGGCACAGGGCAGCAGAAATGTACTGCCTGCCATGGCGTCCATTTTATCTGGGGTCACAACCACGAGTTCTAGGGAAACCACACACACCGCCCACATTAATGTATATTTTCTTATCTAATGTAAATGTATCAACGCTAAACATTTGTCAGTAACAATGCATTTTAAAAGTACAGAACAGGCAAACCTCGTCGAATGCAGGGGGGTTACGTTCCTGGAAAATGCCATGTTGGGCAAAACTTTGTTAGACACAAAACATAACTCGTGTGAAAACTCGGGTTGCCTTCCAAATGATCACCCGCTCCCTCTTTGTTTAACTAACACTACCAGATGCCCACCCTCGTTGTTGTACTAACGGATGCTGAGTCTCACGTCTTGTGTGTGTACACTCTTTGTCAATTTCAACGCAACACAAAACCTCCGTCTCCATTCTTCCCGCACCACAGCACTCACACCCTACGCTCGCCACTAACACTGTCACTTGAACATGTAATGATTCACCATCTAGTCGTCCGTATGACTAACGTTCTCAATAACAAGAATCATGCGGTAATATGTGAACATTTACGTTGTGCTGCTGCTGTGCGTTTTGAGTGCATTACATTATCAAACAAAAAAACATACCCACATGTACACAGATGAAGTGTTCTTGAAGACGCGTGGACAACGGGGTAAGGCACACGTATTTATTTGCACAATGTCTTTACAATACTGGAGGGATGTATCGGCCCCCTCACCCGTACAACTGGGAATTCACCCCTAGCTAGCCTTCCTAGCTGAGTCCTCCGCTAACGGGCTAGGGGAGGCTGTCTGGCCCGACACTGGTTAGTCGGGCTACGGTACCCGGAATCCCAGAGGTCTGACTCTGGTTCCGGGACCACGCCACTGGCTCCAGCCTGCACTGCCCTTACAAGGGCGGCGTCCCAGGGGGAGTCCAGGGCCTATCTGGCCGGTCTTCTCTCTTCCCTTAACTACACTAAGACTGAGCCCCGAGCTCTCTGGCTCAACCCTTTTTATACCCCCCTAGAGGATCGAAACCCCCCTCACGCCGTCCAGTACGGACGTCGTTGCGGGCACCACCCCGTGTGCTCACGGAGTCCCCGCCCACTGTGTTTGTTATCCGTTAGCCCCTATGCAAACAGCCCTACACAAACAGCCCCTCTGTAACAGCCCTACATCACCCCCCCCTGTACAGCTCGCAGCCGTCCCGGCTGCAACAACTTTAATAAAGGCTGTTTAACCCCTGGATACCCGCGTGTGCCTTAAAAAACTTTTTAACGCTAACATGAAGGAACCAACAGCAACAACGACAACAACAACAACAATGACAACAACAAAACCCACAACCCCGAAGGGAACAATCCGACGCACCCCCCCTGAATAAATACGAATACCGTAAGAGTGACGCATATATACAGGTTAAGCAGGGAACTCGCAACACACATGCAACACAACACAAAAAAAATGTGTTAGGAGCTCCCCACCGACGCAGCACCACGCAACCGTACGTAAGAGAGAAGAAGAAAAAAAATGTTCGTCCAATGCGTTATAAGAGTCTGCGCATTTTTGCGCGTGTCCTTGCTGCAGGCCCGTCACACGGGGCAATCCCGGGTGGCGAACCCGCCGGTGGCGGTTGTTCGTTTTGTATAGAGTCCGCGTCTGACGTCGCGGGAACCGCGGCGTCCCTTGCAGCAGCAGGTGGGTGCGGGCTCGTCAGTCCCGATGCACCTGGAGGTGGCACGGCCGGCAAGGCATTAGGTGAGCGCGGTGGAGACGGAGCTAGTGAGTCGGTCGACCCCCCACACGTCTGGCCACGCATGTGTGAAGTGGGTTTGTGTACCGCGACGAAAGGTTTCAACCGAGAGGGGTGCACGAACCATCGCCGCTTCCCCCAACGAATGCGCACGCACTGTGGTCGCAAGACCTCGACCACTTCCACAGGGCCCCGCCACGGCCGCGCCAGCTTAGGGGAGGTGGCCAGGGGTACTTGGGGACAGTGCAACCATGCCCTGTCCCCCGGTTTCCACTGTATTACATGCGCCCGACCCAGCCTGAGGCGCTCGTTCGCCTTTTGACGGAGGTCCGAGTTCAACCTCGCAGCATCCCGCGCCTCTGTTAATTTAGCCAGATTAAATTTGACGTGGTCAGCCAATTTAGTTTTTCCTTGCGGGTCGGGGATCTGCAGCTGGGCGCGAACAGGCGGGTCGGGTTCGCGACCGTACATAAGGAAAAAGGGGGAAAATCCCGTAGCTGCATGGGGTGCCATCCGGTATGCCGCCAAGACCCCCTGAATATGCAGGTCCCAATCAGTCTGAGAATCTGAGACCTGCTGTGCCATCATTGACGAAATGGTGCGATGCAGGCGCTCGACCATTCCGTCTGTCTGTGGGTGATACGGGGAGGCCCGAATTTTCTTTGTGCCTAAGAGGTCACAGACTTGTTTAAGCAATTTGCTTGAAAAATTTCTACCCTGATCGGTCAGCAGCCGTTCCGGAGCACCTTTGTCCAGGACGTATCCCTGAACAAAGGCGTCCACGATGGCTGCTGCCGACTGGTTGGCAAGGGGCCAGGCCATGGGCCAGCGCGTAAAATACTCGACTCCTGTCAGCAAATACCTATTGCCCCTGGGGGTGGCGGGAAATGGGCCCAAGATGTCCAGCGCGACAAGCTCATTTATTCTGGACACCTTGATTGATTGTAAAGGCGGGTTAGACTCCCGTGCCGGCGGTTTCTGTTGCGCACACCGCGGGCATGAATTAAAAAGATCCCCAACATCCTTTGTCATACCAGGCCAAAAAAAATCTAGTTGTATCAGTGCAAGGGTCTTTAGAGTCCCCAGATGTAACAGGCGCTCATGCGCGGCCCACACCACTTTGCCTCGCAACTCCGAAGGGACGACCAGCCGATGTCGCTGCGATTTTGCGTCCCAATGCATGAGCAGACCCTGTACCATTTCCCATGCACCCGAATCACCTTTCACCCGGCCAGCACCCCCGACGCGACGACGCCACCCGAGGAGGGAGGTATCCTCCATTTGGAGGCGCCCCCACTCAGTGACGGGCAACCCCAACAGGGAATCCCTTCCCTGTTGTTCGATCGAATTATCAGGCAGTGGTTCGTCGTCGTCGGTGGCTGCCAGGATCGGAACCGATGCGTCCCCTGAAGGTCTGCAACGTCCCGACCCCAGGAGGCATGCACATTCCGAGGTGGTTGGCATGCGTGACAGAGCGTCCGCGTTGGTATGGCGAACGCCCTTACGGTAAGTGGTCTCAAAATCAAAATCCTGGAGGACCTCCAACCATCGAGACAACTGTCCCGATGGTTGTTGAACCCGCAGGGCATACTGTAGTGCCGCATGATCTGTGCGGACGGTGAAATGCCGACCGTACAGATATGGGCGATACTGTTGGATGAAAAAAACAATTGCCAACAGTTCTCTACGGGTGACACAATATCTCTGCTCCGCAGGAGACAACACCCGACTACCGTATGCGACCACCCGTTCAACGCCATCAACCACCTGGGAAAGCACACCCCCAATACCCGTGTTGCTCGCATCGGTGTCGAGCAAAAAGGGCTTCGAAAAATCAGGGTAGATCAAGGGAGGGGCTTTCACCAGGGCGTCCCGAAGGGAGCGGAACGCAGCCTCCTCCTCTTGACCCCAGTGGAACCGAACCCCTTTAGATGTTAAAGCGTGCAGGGGTTTAGCAATTGTCGCAAAATCAGCAACAAACCGTCGATAATACGACGCGAACCCAATGAAACTCCTGACCTCTCCCACCGAGGTGGGAGTCGGCCAGGAGCTGACACACTGCGTTTTGGCGGGATCGGTAGCAATACCTGAGCGTCCCACGATGTGCCCCAAATAACGCACCGAATCACGCAACAAATGGCATTTTTGGGGCTTGAATTTCAAATTAGCAGCCCGCATCTTTAGGAAAACCGCCCGCAACCTCTGGAGATGTTCATCAAAGGTTTTTCCAAAGACGATAACGTCATCCAAATAAATGAGGCACGACTCCCATTGCAGTCCAGCCAAAACCAATTCCATTAAACGCTGGAAAGTTGCCGGCGCTGAGTGTAAGCCCATCGGCAACCGGTTGAATTGAAACAAGCCGTGCGGTGTACGAAAAGCAGTTTTAGGCTTTGACTCATCATCCAGAGGAAGCTGCCAGAATCCCGAAAGTAAATCGAGTGTGGAAAAGAATCGCGCTCCCGCCAAGGCGTCAAGCGATTCATCCATCCGAGGGAGCGGGTATGCGTCGGCAACCGAAATTTTATTAAGACGCCGGAAGTCAACGCAAAACCGCAACGAACCGTCCTGCTTTTTAACCAGGACGATCGGCGCTCCCCAAGGGCTGGTGGAAGGAGAAATGATGTCCGCGGCCAACATGTCATCAACAGCCGATTTGACATGGTCCTTTTCGGCGGGACTCAACCGAAACGGATTTTGGCGAATTGGCGCGCTGTCACCCGTGTCAATATGGTGACGCAGCAAGTGAGTGCAACCCAAATCATATTTATTTCGACTAAAAACGTCGGAAAATTCTCGCAGTAGCGTTTTAAGTTGTTGACGCTCTGAATCGGACAGGTCCGTCGATCCCGCACAAAGCGCCTCGAGCCACCCTTCATCGCCGTCCGAATGCGGTCGCGACGCAGGGACAGTGTTGACGCAATTTACGGCGGGTTCCTCACACGGCACCGGCGTTGCGTGAGCAAGCACGGTCCCCTGTGGGATCACCACCGTCCGCGAGCCCACATTAAGGACCGCGATGAAGGGTTCACCATCCCCTCTCACTATGGTCTGGGCCGGTAGTAAGTCAGGTCCACTAACCCCGGCCCTAGACGGTCCCAACAGTACCCCTTGTGCCCCAGCACCCTTAACGAGGGGCCGCCGAAGTTTCAAGGGTACCAGCATTTGCGTCCCCGGAGGAACGCGTACCGTTCTTTCCACGAGCGCCGGCACCGTCGCGAACGCCGTCCGAGTCGCAACCGGCGATGGCAGAAACGCCATGCGTCTGCCCGATGGAAGCTCTATGCACCCCTGGTCGATCAAAATTACAATCGGCATTTTGGCCAGGAAGTCCGTCCCCAGCAGGCACGGAACCGCCAGCGAGGAAGAAACAAAAATCGGCCCAGACAATTTTATTTCCCCGATGCAAATTTGGGCACGAATTTGTCCGATGATGCCAAGTGAGCCCCCGTTAGCCGCATAGAATGGTATGTTAACTGGCATCAAGGGACGACTCCGGACGGGGAGAATATTATAAATTAATTCCGAAATAATAGTCGCCGATGCTCCCGTATCGACCAGGATGCGCACTTCAACCCCGTCGATATACCCCACAACGGCCGACGACCCCGACGATGCGGCAACCACACGATCGGCCAGCACGGACCACTGGCCGGGTTCGATATGGGTACCCGGAGTGGTGCGTGATGGTGCGATGGTGCGTGATACCGGCCCCCCTCTCGTCGCGGTGTTTGAGTGCGTGACGGGTGTGTGTGTGGGCCAAACGTGTGGGGTGCCGCGACTCGCCGGTTTTTGATGGTGGAGCTTGGGATGAGGCCCGTCGTCCCGGTGAGGTGTCGTCCCGCGCTGACGAGGAGAGCGGCACCCCGAGGCGACGTGGCCCCAGACGCCGCAGTTAAAGCACCGCGGGAGCGACGTCGGAGGTGACGAATGGTCGGAACGGCCCGACCCGTCCTGGCCCGGCCGTGCACTCGTCGCCTGTTGCCGTCGGTGGTCGACGGCGTAGAGTTCCTCCGTCGGAAGGGTGGCTGCAGCCACCGCACGCCCCGCCGATGCCCTGCTGGCTTTTCGCCGGAGCGACAGGAGGTTTGCGTGGAGGAGCCGCGCCGCCTGGAGCGATGTCATTTCCGCGTCCTCCTGTGCGACGACAGCGATGTCAAGATCGTCAGCCAGGAGGAGTATTTTCTCCGTCACCATAGCGTCGATGCCGTCGTCATCCATACGGGGGAAGGCCGACTTGGCCAACGCCAGGAGGCTCGTTCGGTACGCCAGGGGCGACTCCTTTTCTCCCCGCTTGCGGTCGTAGAACTCCTGTCTACATTCCGCCGATGGTCCGTAGACCCCTCCCAGCAGCTGCAGCGCCATTGGTAACGTAGAGCGCCTTTCCTTCGGTGCCGATGTTAGAGCGGCAAGCGCGTCGCCGTCCAGGAGCGCCGGCAGGGCGTTGAGAGCTTCTGCGTCTGTCCATTTAGCCATTTCTTGGTGGGCGAGGAAGCGTCTTCGGAAGCCGCTCCAGTCGCCCTCTGCGCCCACGAATTCTTTAAGCGGGGGCAGCCTTTGATGCAGCGCAGCAGTTGCCGTGGAGTCCCCTGGGCTGCTGTCTCCCCGACCCGGCTGCGTCTCGGCGCGAACGGCAGATGGCATCGCCTGTCGCAGCTTTGATGACGCGCCCTCCTCCGTCGTTGATGCGGCAGCCCCAGCGCGGCCGATGTCGGACCCCAGGTTGAGGTTGGCCACGCCCCTAGCGGTCGCCGCGTCGATGGCGGGAAATTCAAAATTTGAATCTTCAGAAATGGCGGGAAGGCGCTCCGGACGCCGGTTCCCCTCGCCCCGCGGTGGACCACCAGCCCCCAGCCGTGTGATGTTCTCCAGCGTAGCGGCAGCGGCGTAGAGCAGTTCCGCCAGCCTCTCGTGAGCCAGCCTCAGGTGGTCTGTCCGCTGCTCCTCTTCATGGCGACGCTCCGGCAAGAACGCGTCCGGCCCCGGCTGCACGTCGTCTTGTTGAGCCATCTCGGGCTCGACAATTTCGGCGGCGTCTTCCGTTTGCTGTTCCCTGGCTCGAGCTGTTTGGCGCGTGTCCATGTTCTTGGTTCTTCTGACGCCAGATGAAGTGATCTTGAAGACGCGTGGACAACGGGGTAAGGCACACGTATTTATTTGCACAATGTCTTTACAATACTGGAGGGATGTATCGGCCCCCTCACCCGTACAACTGGGAATTCACCCCTAGCTAGCCTTCCTAGCTGAGTCCTCCGCTAACGGGCTAGGGGAGGCTGTCTGGCCCGACACTGGTTAGTCGGGCTACGGTACCCGGAATCCCAGAGGTCTGACTCTGGTTCCGGGACCACGCCACTGGCTCCAGCCTGCACTGCCCTTACAAGGGCGGCGTCCCAGGGGGAGTCCAGGGCCTATCTGGCCGGTCTTCTCTCTTCCCTTAACTACACTAAGACTGAGCCCCGAGCTCTCTGGCTCAACCCTTTTTATACCCCCCTAGAGGATCGAAACCCCCCTCACGCCGTCCAGTACGGACGTCGTTGCGGGCACCACCCCGTGTGCTCACGGAGTCCCCGCCCACTGTGTTTGTTATCCGTTAGCCCCTATGCAAACAGCCCTACACAAACAGCCCCTCTGTAACAGCCCTACACAGACATACACGGTAAATACATCGTTCTCACAGTCAATTCGCACGCTCCAATGGACGCAGCACTCTCACGAAAATGTTCGCAGCGTCAAACTGCGTATCACTTAAATACCACCCCTGTGTTGTGGAAAACAAACCTCATCAGCCACAACCGTCTAGATCCAAAACATGCGTTAGATGAAACCGCGTTGGGCAAGGGTTTCCTCTCTATATTTTTTCGTTACCAAATGTTATCCCTGTGTCCCGTCACTAATATACACATTAATTGGAAATTCTCGCTCTCACACAGTTGGGAGCGAGACTTTCCCAATATACTTTTAATTCTCAGTTTTAATTTCGTCAATTAAGTGCAGGATTGCAGAAGGGGGGGCTTAGTCCATCAACTCACTCGACTTTAGCACTCGGTTAACTCGCCGGCAAATGTCTGGACTTGACCCCATGCTTCTGAGTGGCGCTAACTCAGCACTCTGACCTCCAAGTCACCTCCTATCCGACGTTGTTTTAAGATTGCGTAAATGTCGGTGAGGAGCAGTCAAAGGTTGTGATGTACAATGGTGGTGATGAGATCGTAGCCAGGGGTTGAACCCAGTTCACCGTGGCACTGGGCCCATGACTCTAAAGTGTACATGTTGAGTTCTATATCAGGTCTATAGGATAGGTGATAGAGTTGTGGGTCATAATGTAGACGACGTTTGAAGATAATAACACAAACCTGATGGACTCTTGACATTCAGCTGTAGATACCCAATGTCGTGCTTGTTTTGTGGAAACACCGTGACCTCACAGCGATATCGCCCAGAGTCGTGGGTCTTGATGTCACTGACGGTGATGGAGGCGTCACACTTGGACACATCACCCATCCAGGTGGCGTGTAAAGGCCATTGTCTATCTCCATTGGGGTATTGATAAAGCTGTGGTCAACAAAAGCGAGAGCATGCACAGATCAAAGATGGATGTATGATGTATGTATGTTGTATGCATGTTGAACTTCTTTGGCACAGTACATAGGCAACCGTGCTAATTGGAGGTGCGGGGGAAGGACAACAAACTAAACATAAATATCAGTTTTAAGAAACGAGTTTTCAATCTAGATGATGATTTAAAAGTGCATAGCTCCAGTGGCTTCCTAATATCGGAAGGCAGAGCGTTCCAGATGGCCGCAGCAGCACATGTGACACCGCGTGATATGGTGACCATCTTTGTTCAATGGCCAGCCAAAAGTCGCTGCGAGGATAACCGGAGTTCATGCCTAGAATGAATAAGAATTTATTTAACATCCATTGGACACCTTTTACCGGAATCAAAATACAGAAGGTTGTAAGATGTAGAGTTAGCACGGTTGGCTACGTATCGTGCAAAGAAGTTCAACGTACATACATACAAGAGATGATCATATGTACGGACGTTATGACATCACAATACCATGTGACGTCATAGCTTTTGTGCATATCAAACAGTCCACCAGCACATGCATGCTAATTGCATTGTCTACCAAAATGTATATCAATATAACCCTGGGAGGAAATATTTTGAGATGGGGTTTTGGATCACCCACGCACCCTTCACCACTGGCTACGTATGCATAGATTCCTAGAATGAACGTGAGCAGATACAGATACAGCAGTAGCTGTAGCACACTATAGGGCAGTCCACAACTTAGGAATATAATTAGATCCTGTGACCCATTCGTAAGTTTGATGTTTGTAAGTTGGTGACTGCATGTACATGGTTCCAGTGATGTCATTTATTACACCTATGAAAGTATTTTTGTCTGTCTGTGTACGCCTATCCTTTTAATGCGTTTAACTGACAAACTATTTTGTTTATGTTTTAACAAAGTACACAAATACAACAAACTAAGCCCCCAGACGAACACTTGGTATTTGTTTTTGCCCTTGGTCCAATCTACACTTAGAAAATCACACTTTGTAACAAAGCACGCATCTGCGCATGCGCGTAACACGACTCGCAGTTGCCCCGAGCAATGCAAACGAGCTCACTGAGCGACGACGGGAGGGAGGTTTTTCGCGTTAAAAATCCCGAAAAGAAAAAAATGAAGCCTCTCCAAGACAAACACAAAGACAAAGAGAGTGGCGCTATGGCACGCAAAACAAACAGTGGAGGAGCAGCGGCTGTCCAAACAGCTAACAAACAACGAAGGCACCTTAGCAGCATGAGCTGAGAAAACTGCAGGGCAGCGTGCATCAAGACAAGCCAGAAACTGCACAGTTACTGCTGCAGCACAGGCTGAGGGAAATCCAGAGCAGCGCGATGTCCTCTGCTCCCCCGCCCACCCCAATGTGTGCAGTTACTTCTATAGAGTCAGTAGATACTATTGTAGAGTCAGTAGATACTACCGTAGAGTCAGTAGATACTACCGTAGAGTCAGTAGATACTACTGTAGAGTCAGTAGATACTACTGTAGAGTCAGTAGATACTACTGTAGTGTCAGTAGATACTACTATAGACTCGGTAGATACTACTGTAGAGTCAGTAGATACTACTGTAGTATCAGTAGATACTACTGTAGAGTCAGTAGATAGTACTATAGACTCGGTAGATACTACTGTAGAGTCAGTAGATACTACTGTAGTATCAGTAGATACTACCGTAGAGTCAGTAGATACTACTGTAGAGTCAGTAGATACTACTGTAGAGTCAGTAGATACTACTGTAGTGTCAGTAGATACTACTATAGACTCGGTAGATACTACTGTAGAGTCAGTAGATACTACTGTAGAGTCAGTAGATACTACTGTAGTGTCAGTAGATACTACTGTAGAGTCAGTAGATACTACTATAGAGTCAGTAGATACTACTGTAGAGTCAGTAGATACTACTATAGAGTCAGTAGATACTACTGTAGAGCCAGTAGACACTACTGTAGAGTCAGTAGATACTACTGTAGAGTCAGTAGATACTACTGTAGAGTCACTCGATACTACTGATGCTATGGTATGTAGGGTGCGTAGCTATATATGCCTACAAAATAATTAATTAAAATTGGGTGGGGGGAGGGGTAAAACAAAATTGGGGGAGGGGGGGGTCGACAATTTTTGGAAACCATTTAGATCAACTTTCTGTAACTTTTTGATTCAGGACTTCTGAAAGGCTCTGATAGTTTTGTTGACGGACAAATGGACAGACAAACGATCTAACCCAAAGCAACCTGTATTATGGAGCACACCCCCCACGCCCCCCCCCCCCCGTGTTCCGACAAACTGCGTAGAGCCAAAGACGCGTTCGAAAAAACCGCATTAGGAAAGGTTTTCCTGCATTTAGATGTCTTTTTAAGATAGAGAGATTTGTAACTCACCCTCTCTTCACGTCCATCTATGATCCTCAACCACTCCGCCAGCGTGTGGGTAACGCCGCTGATTGTACAGGTGTAGTAGCAGGGCAGGAAAATCGTGCTGTTTGCTACAGCGTTCATTTTCTCTGGGGTGACGACCATAAATTCTAGGGAAACAACAACACACAGCGCCCACTTTAGTACATCTCGTATGGAAAATGAGAATAGGTTTTACCCCTTCTGGCAATGGAACATGAGGTGTGTTAAAATGTCCAAAAACCGAATAGAAACATTTTTGAAGACATTAAGTGTCGCATTGACCGCACACAGTACTTGTGGTGAACATGCAAACAAACGTGGCTCTTACAGTGAGGGAAAAAAGTATTTGATCCCCTGCTGATTTTGTACGTTTGCCCACTGACAAAGAAATGATCAGTCTATAATTTTAATGGTATGTTTATTTGAACAGTGAGAGGCAGAATAACAACAACAAAATCCAGAAAAACGCATGTCAAAAATGTTATAAATTGATTTGCATTTTAATGAGGGAAATAAGTATTTGACCCCCTCTCAATCAGAAAGATTTCTGGCTCCCAGGTGTCTTTTATACAGGTGTAGTGGGTTCGAATTAGGTGCACACACACGCAACTTGGAGGCAACACTATTTATTAAACGGTAAGTAATATAACACTGTACATAAGGTGGTGACCACCTTCCTCAACTCACTAACACTCTGGAACACGACACAGACTGGACCAGGCAGGCAACGGCCTGCCTGGTCCAGGACGACGACTCGGGACTTGACGACCAATGATGTCTTCACTTCGGAGTACAGTACAACAGCCTCGCTCTGCGTTCACACCACGCTTATATCTGCTTTGGCGTGGCCGGCTCCGCCCAGGCGTGGCCGGCTCTGTCCAGGTCACGCCTCCCTTCCCAGGCCACGCCTCCCTTCCCCCCACCTCTGGGAAGGTCCGGATCCCTCCACCACGTGACCCCCCAGGCACCCCCTTGGGGCCCCCAGCCCTCGTACGGGCCGACACAGTAGTGACCGTTCTGTCACTACATCACCCCCCCCTGTATAAACACACAGCCGTCCCCGGCTGTAACACAACTGTGAACATCTTCTTGGTTCTTTCGGTAAAGTCACGTAGAAGGGAAGTAATAAAATAATAAAAATAAAACATAATAAAATAAAATAATTCTCACGACGTTTCGGCTACAACGCAAGCAGCCGTTCTTCACCTGAAGACGGCTGCTTGCGTTGTAGCCGAAACGTCGTGAGAATTATTTTATTTTATTATGTTTTATTTTTATTATTTTATTACTTCCCTTCTACGTGACTTTACCGAAAGAACCAAGAAGATGAATCCCTGCAGTCACTAAAGCTTTAAATCGAAATACAACTGTGAACATCGAAAAGGTGTGCCTCCGAACCAGCAACATCAATAAATGACCGGCGACCGATAAGAAATACAATCACATAATATATACAGAATCGACGAGGGTAAAAGGAAGGAAACCGCATAGAAAATGGGGAATTAACAACAAATATACATGAAAACTGGCTAACCCACTTACGCTCCAGCACAGCCCCCCCCCCCGTTAGAATCACGCATGCAATGACAGTCACCCGTTAGCACGCCCCCCCCCGCCTTTCCGACGTGGCGTCACAACCAGTAGCACGCGTCGGCCATATCGGGGGGGGAATTTCCATGTTACCACCCCACCGCCTTTCCGACGCGGCGTCACAACCAGTAGCACACGTCGGCCATATCGGGGGGGGAATTTCCATGTTACTACCCCACCGCCTTTCCGACGCGGCATCACAACCAGCAGCACGCGTCGGCCATATCGGTGGGATTTTAACCCAGTCTCTCTCCAAGACTCGCATCGCAGCATATAGCTGTACCGACCGAGCTGAGACGACCCAGTCTCTCTCCAAGACTCGCATCGCAGCATATAGCTGTACCGACCGAGCTGAAACGACCCAGTCTCTCTCCAAGACTCGCATCGCAGCATATAGCTGTACCGACCGAGCTGAGACGACCCATCGTTCACTCACTGCACAACATGCACCCTAACAACTGAGGGAAACAGTCTCAACGTAACAGGACAACTCCACCTGAACCTTACGAATCTCCAGCCCACTGTTTCAACGCGCCTCAGAGGGTCTCAACCTCCGAGCCGTCAGGTCAAGCTGTCAGCCATAGCATGACGGGACCACCCTCCCTGAGCCATGTGAGCGCACAGCCCACAAGGCTAGACAAGCCACAGAGTGTCTCGATCTCCGGGCTGTCAGGTCAAGCCTTCAGACACAGCATGACGGGACCACACTCCCTGAGCCATGTGAGCGCACAGGCCACAAGGCTAGACAAGCCACAGAGTGTCTCGATCTCCGGGCTGTCAGGTGAAGCCGTCAGACACAGCATGACGGGACCACACTCTCCGAGCCATGTGAGCGCACAGCCCACTAGGCTAGACAAGCCACGGAGTGTCTCGATCTCCGGGCTGTCAGGTCAAGCCGTCAGCCATTGCATGACGGGACCACACTCTCCGAGCCATGTGAGCACACAGCCCACTAGGCTAGACATGCCACGGAGTGTTTCAATCTCCGGGCTGTCAGGTCAAGCCGTCAGCCATAGCATGACGGGACCACACTCTCCGAGCCATGTGAGCGCACAGCCCATTAGGCTAGACATACCACGGAGTGTTTCAATCTCCGGGCTGTCAGGTCAAGCCGTCAGCCATTGCATGACGGGACCACAACGTTCATGTTAGACACGCAACACTCACTGGGCCATCCTGGTCAGGATCTGCGCCCCAAGATAAGTGACAGCCAGCACCACAATTCCAAATCCCTGGCAGCATGTCACCATCGCAATTTAACATTTTAACACCATCACAACACATACAATTTGAATTTTGATCCCCCACAGAACTGATCCAATGCCGAACAGGTACGCACAATTTGTGACGATCCCGAATATTCAATGGTCACAACAATACACCTCACATCCCGTATCCGTACACATCATCTCCGAGACTCGCATTGCAGCATGCAGCTATACCAACCGAGTGGAGAGAGCAACGCAATTTGACGGCAATTAACGGAAACGCACCCCCGATCCATGTAGACCACAAGGAGCATTCCCGCACAAAAGAGTGAGTTTGAAACAAACCGAACCTGTCATTTCAAAATACCCTTCAACATTAACCACGGGCCTCAGGGCATTCGAATTTTGAGAGCAAAAAACTATACACAAACCCCAAGAATCGGCGAATTGATTAATACAGTATATGCAGTATACGAAGTTCGTACAGTCAATCATTTGGCGCAATGCTCCATCCAGTCCCCACATGGCAACACACACAATCAATACTCCAGACAATCCGTACATAGTAAATAATCACAAGCAAGTACCCAACATTCCATACACTGTTAACAATTCCAAGCAAAGCCCCATACGGTCTGTACCTTGGCAACAATGACGATCAAAGTTTCTTACAGTTACACGTGACAATCACGAGCGAAACTCCATACAGTATACACAATAACAATGGCGATTTCGCAACAAAACGATGTAACAACACGAGTCCTTAACACGGCAACCTACAGGATATCAACGGAGCTCGGGACACCAACAACGAATTAATCATTAACTACACCCAGAAGATACCGATCTCGACGCCGTATTTAACAACGCCGTTAAAAGCAGACACCCGCATGGAAGCCGCGTCAGTTTATCACGCACACAACCGGACAAACACGCTCCGCAAACCAGCGAGTTAAAAAAAAAACACCCGCGATCGCAACCCGGCGCACGTAAGATGGGTGAAGATATTATTATTTTTCTTGAGGTCGGGTGCTTGTCATGTCACGACTCGCCTGGCAAACTGTGAATAGCGGAGGGCGGCAAGGTGGAGCACTGGGACGGCCCGAAGAATCTTTCATGGTGAACACGGCCTGCTCTTGCGAACCCGTTCACCTCTCGCGCTCGAGCAGAAGGCTGGAACTCCCCCTCTGCAGGCGTTGATGTCGGCGGGAGCGGCATTTCGGCAGCAGGAGCGGCGTTTTGGCGGGAACAGCGCACCGACCTGCCGCCGAAATGGCGGGAACGGCGTTTTGGCGGGAACAGCGCCCCAACCAGCCGCCGAAATGGCGGGAACGGCGTTTTGGCGGGAACAGCACCCCGACCAGCCACCGAAATGGCGGGAACGGCGTTTTTGGCGGGAACAGCGCCCCGACCAGCCGCCGAAATGGCGGGAACGGCGTTTTGGCGAGAACAGCGCCCCGACCAGCCGCCGAAATGGCGGGCCCACCGCGTGGCCCGCATGCCCGGGCCTCCCCCGCCAGCCCCCCGCAGCGACGATGGTGTCCTCTCGCCGCGGCTCCGTCGCTCCGTTCCCGATGGCGGCGAAGCAGCAGTGCGATGCAAGTCCCGCCGCTCCGCGTGCAGCGCCATCTCTCTCTCTCTGTCACCGGGGCTGCCATCCCCGGGGCTGTCCGAAGGACGGTCGTCACACCATCCCCGTCGTACGAAGACGTCCAGATGAGTTTTGTCTTTGTTTTTCGTGTGCCCATTTTACTTCCCTAGGATAACACCTAGCAATATTTATTTTTCCACCTTCTGACGCCAAATGTAGTGGGTTCGAATTAGGTGCACACACACGCAACTTGGAGGCAACACTATTTATTAAACGGTAAGTAATATAACACTGTACATAAGGTGGTGACCACCTTCCTCAACTCACTAACACTCTGGAACACGACACAGACTGGACCAGGCAGGCAACGGCCTGCCTGGCCCAGGACGACGACTCGGGACTTGACGACCAATGATGTCTTCACTTCGGAGTACAGTACAACAGCCTCGCTCTGCGTTCACACCACGCTTATATCTGCTTTGGCGTGGCCGGCTCCGCCCAGGCGTGGCCGGCTCTGTCCAGGTCACGCCTCCCTTTCCAGGCCACGCCTCCCTTCCCCCCACCTCTGGGAGGGTCCGGATCCCTCCACCACGTGACCCCCCAGGCACCCCCTTGGGGCCCCCAGCCCTCGTACGGGCCGACACAGTAGTGACCGTTCTGTCACTACATAGGTAACAAGCTGAGATTAGGAGCACACTCTTAAAGGGAGTGCTCCTAATCTCAGCTTGTTACCTGTATAAAAGACACCTGTTCACAAAAGCAATCAATCAATCAATCAGATTCCAAACTCTCCACCATGGCCAAGACCAAAGAGCTCTCCAAGGATGTCAGGGACAAGATTGTAGACCTACACAAGGCTGGAATGGGCTACAAGACCATCGCCAAGCAGCTTGGTGAGAAGGTGATAACAGTTGGTGCGATTATTCGCAAATAGAAGAAACACAAAAGAACTGTCAATCTCCCTCGGCCTGGGGCTCCATGCAATATCTCACCTCGTGGAGTTGCAATGATCATGAGAACTGTGAGGAATCAGCCCAGAACTACACGGGAGGATCTTGTCAATGATCTCAAGGCAGCTGGGACCACAGGTCACAAAGAAAAAAGTTGGTAACACACTACGCCGTGAAGGACTGAAATCCTGCAGCGCCCGCAAGGTCCCCCTACTCAAGAAAGCACATATACATGCCCGTCTGAAGTTTGCCAATGAACATCTGAATGATTCAGAGGACAACTGGGTGAAAGTGTTGTGGTCAGATGAGACCAAATGGAGCTCTTTGGCATCAACTCAAGGAGGAGGAGGAATGCTGCCTATGACCCCAAGAACACCATCCCCACTGTCAAACATGGAGGTGGAAACATTATGCTTTGGGGGTGTTTTTCTGCTAAGGGGACAGGACAACTTCACCGCATCAAAAGGGACGATGGACGGGGCCGTGTACCGTAAAATCTTGGGTGAGAACCTCCTTCCCTCAGCCAGGGCATTGAAAATGGGTCGTGGATGGGTATTCCAGCATGACAATGACCCAAAACACACGGCCAAGGCAACAAAGGAGTGGCTCAAGAAGAAGCACATTAAGGTCCTGGAGTGGCCTAGCCAGTCTCCAGACCTTAATCCCATAGAAAATCTGTGGAGGGAGCTGAAGGTTCGAGTTGCCAAACGTCAGCCTCGAAAACTTAATGACTTGGAGAAGATCTGCAATGAGGAGTGGGACAAAATCCCTCCTGACATGTATGCAAACCTGGTGGCCAACTACTAGAAACGTCTGACCTCTGTGATTGCCAACAAGGGTTTTACCACCAAGTACTAAGTCATGTTTGTAGCAGGGTCAAATACTTATTTCCCTCATTAAAATGCAAATCAATTTATATAATTTTGACATGCGTTTTTCTGGATTTTTTTGTTGTTATTCTGTCTTTCACTGTTCAAATAAACCTACCATTAAAATATAGACAGATTATGTCTTTGTCCTTGGGCAAACGTACAAAATCAGCAGGGGATCAAATACTTTTTTCCCTCACTGTATAATATATAAATTGTCTTTAATAATAATGTAACTATAATGTTACATGGTATTGTTTTCAAACTGATTGGCCTACATCAAAGGACAGACTTCTTTATGGCCTCGTCTCACCAGCTGTCAGACCAGAGAACGCCTAAATGTGAACAGTACAAAGACAATGCACGTATCAGAGCGTTTATAGCTTGGAGTGAGCAGCTGTATCACGTTCAGATGGCAATTGGACATCGGTGTTGATGAGATTTATAGCCAAGAGTTGAAGCCAGATGTGTGTAATCCTTATAGTGGCAACATGTCATGAGATACAGAATCCATTGGATCCCTCAAAGTGCAGCGTAACCTTTTGTGTTAAGAGTATGGCCCACAGAAGTAGATATCACACAACTACCTCTGACATTCCATGAGGTGACCTCTGGTTCATGTGTATGTGTGTGTGGAACTTCTTTCGCACCATACGTAGCCAACCGTGCTAATCGGAGGTGCAAGCAAACAACAAACTAAACACAAGAAAGCAGTTATAAAGAAATGAGTTTGTCAATTCAGATAATTTAAAAGTGCACAGCTCAGTAGTTTCCTAATATTGGAAGGAAGAGCATTCCAGATGGTCGCAGAAGCGCATCTGAAAGCGCGCGGTGCACTGACTGATGGTGAACCAAAAGCCGCTGGGCGACACCCCCTCAAACAAATATAACCCCCTTGTGGTAGCAGCTCTCTCGCTGTGTTCTTCCTGGTTCAGCAGTTCTACTGCTGGTTTTTGTTTCGCCTGAGGACGATAGCTTGTGTTGCGATCAAAACGTCGTGATACATTCTTTTATTTTTCTACCTACATGACTTTACCGAAAGAACCAAAGAGTATGATGATGGTGGTTTTGGTGGTGGTGACGATGATGATGGTGGTAGTGATGATGACGGTGGTGATGATGGTCATGATGATGGTGGTGGTGGTGATGAAAGTGGTGATGGTGACAATTATGATGATGGTAATGATTGTGGTGGTGGTGGTGGTGATGATGATGAAAGTGGTGATGGTGATGATGATAGTGGTGATGATGGTCGTGGTGGTGATGATGGTGATGATGGTGGTTGTGATGATGGTGGTTATTGTGATGGTGGTGATGATGATGATGGTGGTTGTGGTGATGATAGTTGTGGTGACAATGATGGTGGTGATGATGGTGATGATGATGGTTGTGATGGTGATGGCAGTGATTGTGATGGTGGTGATGATGATGTTGGTGGTGACGATGATGATGGCGATGGTGGTGGTGATGAATTCGAGTTGACCACGACCTGCTATTGAACTCACCTCGTTGTGTTCTTCCGTGGCGCTGAGCTCCGGACTCTGAGCCATTCCCAACCTCCGCGCTGTCAACGACCACCGTTACTGCGGATAAATCAGAATCTCAGAATCATCATTTATTTTACTTATAATAGAGGAATCCGATGAGCTATGAAGCTCTTTCACAGATGATCCAGTAGGGCTACAGGGTAAGAACGTTACGCTAATGACGGTCGCATTAAGGGCACCACGGTGGCGAGGAGGTGTTAACTACCTCGCCTAGTATACAGGAGGCCGTGGGTTCGATCCCAGCCCTAACACCACGGTGGCTAGGAGATGTTAACAACCTCGCCTGGTATACAGGAGGTTGTGGGTTCGATCCCAGCCTTAACACCACGGTGGTGAGGAGGTGTTAACTACCTCGCCTGGTATACAGGAGGTTGTGGATTTGATCCCAACCATGACGCCTGTTGTATATTTGGAGCTTGCGTGTTTTCCTCGTGGTCTCGTGGCTTTTACTCTGGATCCTCCGGTTTTTCCCTCCACATTTAGAATCAACATCACGCGTTTAGAATTTTTGGCTGCTAGACATTTCCACGTGGTGATGATGATGACGATCAGCCACTTCACTTGTGGCCAGGTCGCTTCTAACAAAAGAACTACACATCTCAGTGGGCCTCACCTGGTAGAATAACAATAGTTTAGTTCAGTGTTTAGTTCACATGTAGATCCTTCTGTGGAAGATGCTTTCACGAATGCGTGCAAAGTGGAGAGAGATCGTGTCACCGACTGGCGTAATAACGCACAATGCGTGCGTGTGTTTGATTCAGCACAGAGAGGCATTACTGAGTCTCTGTTGTGCCCCTACACCCCTCTCGTCAATCCACTGCTGGATGAGAGCCTCATCACACCATGTCGGCTCCTGATGGCCACGTGACATACTTCACCATCCTGGCCAATGTGGGTTGATGAAGGCAATCATCATAGCCGGCGCACAGCAATGCCTTGTACTGCCCTGCTCGTTGCTGTATCTATGTACGTATGTTGAATTTCTTTCATACCACGTAGCCAATCGTGATAATGTACGTGTTGAACTTCGTTCGCACCGTACCACTGGACGGGTTGCGCAGGATTTCTACCTACGTGACTTTACCGAAAGAACCAAAGAGTATAGGCTACAAGTGGTGGTGGTGGTGGTGATGATGCTACTTACCTAACAATAATATTAGTATGAATATTGTTGTTGCTTTTGTTTTTCCGAGTGGAGAAGTCGGGGCGATTCCTTCACAAATGGAGGACAGGGATTCTGTAAAATGAACAAGTTACAAACGTTTACACCATTGGAACCTCATTTGCCAGTAGCAAAATATGATTATTGTTTTTTTACCCTTTTATCTGGCAACAAAACTGACACCTTTTTTTACAAGGAGTCATGTTTGCATTGACCATAATACCTGCAGTCGGAATGCAAACAAAAAACATAACTCTGATAATGTATGCACTGCCTTTTGGCGTCATCTGGTCCAACACCATGTGAGACTAGGCTCTAAAGAAAGCTGTCTTGGGTGTGGACCAATCAACTTCAAGGACAGTGCATACATTATCAGAGTTGTGTTTTTTGTTTGCATTCCGACTGCAGGTATTGTGGTCTATGCAAACATGACTCCTTGTAAAAAAAGGTGTCAGTTTTGTTGCCAGATAAAAGGGTAAAAAAACAATTATCAAGTCACAAACGATTTACAAATGAATGCCTTCGTTTGGAAGGTTCACATCTCCCCACTTCGCCATACGGCAAGACCAGGGGACGTGCGGTCAGGGGAGGCAGGGGAGGCAGAGCCTCACCTGCCATACTGCAATGATAACAGCTGGTACGAAAAGTAAAAAAAAAAAGAATAATCTAATAAAATAAATATTAAGATTTTTCCACTGATCTGTGTTATAAATGTCATTTCTGTACGATTCCAATCATTTTTATCGTCAAAATCGCCAAATTTGCAGAGCTCCGCTGCAAATACAGGAAGAGACGAGAGGTGAGGCAGCGACGAGCTCAGCCTCCCCTCTGATTGCGCAACCCCTCAGTAACTGGATGGAGCGCGGGCAATAAGCGCGTGCCTGTTACTATCTCAGTATGTCACCAATGTCATGTTTGTAGACCCCTTCATTTCATGTCCTCGCCTTCCATACTGCAGGTAACTTATTTCACGTGTGTGTATAAAGATATTTAGGCTCGCTGGTCTCGTCATGAAACTGCAATGAAAAAGCACCAGGGGAGGCAGCTATCACATCTGCCTCACTGAGGGGGACATCTCGATTTAAAGCTTTCGTGACTGCAGGGATTCATCTTCTTGGTTCTTTCGGTAAAGTCACGTAGAAGGGAAATAATAAAATAATAATAATAAATTAAAATAATAAATAAAATAATACAAATAAAACATTTTATTGCTTTTTTTATTTCCCTTCTACGTGACTTTACCGAAAGAACCAAGAAGATGAGGTTCTGTGTTTTATCTCTCTCTCTCAAATTTAGCATTCTCAGGAAGAACGTAATCAACCAGGTAGGGTGTTGACTGTTATGTTATCCGACTCTCTGTGTTGTATTACATTCCATTTCTAAGTTTACTAGATTTGTGTTTCTATTTCATTTATACCTGATGATGATTGCTTGTGTTGCAATCGAAACGTCGTATGCTAGTATTTAATTTATTATTTTATCTTTATACGTGACTTTACCGAAAGAACCAAAGAGTAGTTACTGCAGTCACGAAAGCTCCAAATTAAGAAAGATGAGGGGGACATGTCTAACACGCCCCCCTCAGTGTGTGACTCGCTCACACACTCATTCATATACTCACACACTCATACACTCACACACTCACTTACACACACACTCACTCACACACTGGTGAGTACAACACACTCACTCACTCACACTCTGGTGAGTACAACACACTCACTCAGCCATTGACCTCACCGCACATCACTGGGCAAGACTCATCAACACGAGACAGTGAATCTCAATGGGAGCTCTCTCTCTCTCAGCTGGTGGTTAAACCACATTCCTGCGGAGGGAGCTGGTAGGAACGTTGGGTTGCTCGGTCAATGGCCAGGGTCAACGGCGGCGTGGTGTATTCCGCAAATATGCCCGACTGTGAGGGCGGGCACAAGCCGGCGTGAGTAGGTTAAACGTTGAGTTTTATAAGGGCACCACGGGGTGACCAGCCCATCCCCACCCAGCCCCACCCCTCCCACCCCCCACCTAGCCGCACCCTCCTCACCCAGCCCCTCCCCACCTTCCTCACCCAACCCCTCCCCACCCCCCACCCAGCCCCACCCTCCCCACCCAGCCCCTCCCCACCCTCCTCACCCAACCCCTCCCCACCCCCCACCCAGCCCCACCCTCCCCACCCAGCCCCACCCCACCCTCCCCACCCAGCCCCTCTCAACCCCCACCCAGACCCACCCTCTCCACCCAGCCCCTCCCCACCCAGCCCCACCCTTTCCACCCAGCCCCTCCCCTCCCTCCCCACTCAGCCTCTCCCCTTCCCACCCAGCCCCTCCCTCCCCACCCAGCCCCTCCCTGCACGACGGACGGACACAATAATCCCCTGTGTGCTGGTGTAACCAGGAGGTTCCTACCAGTATAAAGGACGTCAATCACAAGGGACAATTAATCTCAATGGGGTCTCAATCTCAGAGCGCAGTCCTCAGCTGGTGAAGGGCCATGCAGCCCTGCACGTCTCTCTCACCTGCCCGTATGGTTCTCTCACCTGCGAGGCGCCTCTCTCACCTGAGAGAGGCGCCTCTCTCACCTGCCCGTGTGGTTCTCTCACCTGAGAAGCGTCTCTCTCACCTGCCCGTGTGGTTCTCTCACCTTACAGGTACGCGCCGCGTGAAATACCAAACTCACTCCTACTCACAGACTGTGTGGGGCAGGCGCTGTTGGCCTGTAGCGCCTGCCAGGCCTGCACTGTGACACACGAGGAAGTGAGTGGTCAAGCACCACGCCCGCCCGCCTTTGTGACTCGCCCAGCGCCCAGCGGTGTTCGCTACGTACCGCGGCAGGTGCTCATTTGAGGCTGAGTCGACCTTGGGGCAGGCCCAGGACCGGCTCAGATCATCGTCACCCGGAGGAGTTGAGCCGCGAAGAGCGGGAACTCAACTCGCCACTCCGCGTTCGTAGCTGCAGGCGAAATGAAACTCGCTGTCACTTCCCCTTCGCCCACACAAAGGTCAAAGGCTCAACTCGATCACCTCCGCAAAGGGGCCGTCCATAAATGACGTCACGCACCTCGGGGGGGGAGTGGGGTCAGACATTCGTGACGATGTGTCACGAGGGGGGGAGGGGGGGTTTGAGAAATGTGACTTCACATCAAAATGCGCAAATTTTTAATGTTAATTAAAGATAATTGTTTTAACACTAATTTGGATTGATTTTCGTTATTAACTATTTGATTCTTTAAATTGACTAAGGTCACCTTTTATTTATTCCATGAAGGAGCATTCTGCTTTTCCATGGGAGAATGGAGAAGCATACATTTTGTACATTTTTAGAATGATTGTTATTAAACATTTTTATTTTAATGATTCTATCAGGGCTTTTCATTCTGTGAAATGAATATGTGATTGTTATAATTGGACTCGCAATTTTGCTTCGTTCTACTACAAAGTTTGAAGTATTTTTTTTTTGCTAGAATTAATTTTATTAATTTATAAATATAAGAGAATTTCAATATAATATTATGAACATCTGCAGTTTTAGTTAGACGTTTAATATTTTCAAGTGAATTTAATGCTAAATTTCAGCTTTCCAACGCCTCCGTTATAATAAATGTTTTCTCCTACAACATCAGGGTACAGCGCCACATTAAATACGCACTACAATGACAATAGTTTAAAGCGATTTGAAGCATTTTTTTATTGGAAATATGGTTTGGGGGGGGGGGCAGAGCTTTGTGAGGGGGGTTTGAATGTCTGTGACGCCGTGTGACGAGGGGGGAAGGGGGGGTCAAAAATCGGCCAAAATCGCGTGACGTCATTTATGGACGGCCCCTTATCACACTATCGATTGATGCTTTATCAGAATATCGATTGATGCATTATCAGAATATTGATTTTCTTGCGGTCTTTCCTCTCCACATTTCGAAGCCACACGTTTAGAGTATTTTCAGAGTCTTTGTCTGCTGCTATCAATGTGATGATGATGATGATATCAGACACGTGACTGAGCTGCTGTCACTAGTGATGGCCCAGCTCGCTTCTCATACAATATCTACACAGCAGCTGAGTGGTGGTCTTACACCTGGTGACACAAACTTAGTTTAGTTGTAGTGTGGGTCTCTGTGGGTCTCTATGGGTCTCTATGAGTATGGGTCTCTGTGGGTCTCTATGGGTCTCTGTGAGTATGGGTCTCTGTGGGTCTCTATGGGTCTCTATGAGTATGGGTCTCTGTGGGTCTCTATGAGTATGGGTCTCTGTGGGTCTCTATGGGTCTCTGTGAGTATGGGTCTCTGTGGGTCTCTATGGGTCTCTATGAGTATGGGTCTCTGTGGGTCTCTATGAGTATGGGTCTCTGTGGGTCTCTATGAGTATGGGTCTCTGTGGGTCTCTATGAGTATGGGTCTCTGTGGGTCTCTATGAGTATGGGTCTCTGTGGGTCTCTATGGGTCTCTATGAGTATGGGTCTCTATGGGTCTCTAAGTATGGGTCTCTGTGGGTCTCTATGGGTCTCTGAGTATGGGTCTGTGGGTCTCTATGAGTATGGGTTTCTAAGTACTGTATGGGTCTCTATGGGTCTCTGAGTATGGGTCTCTGTGGGTGTCTATGGGTCTCTATGAGTATGGGTCTCTGTGGGTCTCTATGGGTCTCTGTGGGTCTCTATGAGTATGGGTCTCTGTGGGTGTCTATGGGTCTCTATGAGTATGGGTCTCTATGGGTCTCTGTGGGTCTCTATGAGTATGGGTCTGTATGGGTGTCTATGAAATCCAACCAATCAGCTCCCTTCTAGATTTGAAGTTTTCGTGACTGCTATGATCCAAACTCGTTGGTTCTTTCGGTAAAGTCACGTAGATGAAGAATAAAATAACAAAAATATTAATAAATAAAAGCAAATTAAAATCACGACGTTTCGATTGCAACACGAGCAAGCATCATCAGGTGTGGCAACCACAGCAAGACGTTTTTACTGAAGTGGGAGAGATGCCGGAGTGAGGAAGGCTTCATAAGGCAGAGATGGCGGTAGAGGTGGGGGGGAGAGAACAGGGAGTGAGTGAGTTGAGCTTTGCGTGTTCGCTAGGGAATGGGACGAGAGACGCGGGGGAGGGGGGGGCTAGAAGTTGAAGGCTGATTCCTAGAGATGAGAGGGGGAGAAAAACGACAACACGATTGCTGCCAAGATAGATGATGGTGGAGCCCAAAAAAACTAAATAGTCGCACTGCTGAACGCTGAGGATACAATTTACCAGAGGTGGGACAAAGTCATTGTTATGCAAGTCCAAGTCGAGTCTGAAGTCATCAAATTCATGACTCGAGTCTGACTCGAGTCCAAGTCACATGACTCGAGTCCACACCTCTGCAATTTACTCGGTAAAATAAAAGCGTGTAAAAATCTTCTTGGTTCTTTCGGTAAAGTCACGTAGAAGGGAAATAATAAAATAATAAAAATAAAACATGATTAAATAATTCTCACGACGTTTCGGCCACAACGCAAGCAGCCGTCCTCAGGTGAAGAACAGGTATGTCGGGAAGACAGCGTGTAAAACGTTTAAAAATCAATATTTTGGATTTTTATGATAGAATATCGTGTTGTCATCAGTATGACATACCTATACGAAGTTTGCAGTCGATAGCACATTGGTAAGTGTGTAAAAATTGAGTTACAATATTTTTTTTTTGAGGATACAACAGACGAAGTGAGTTAAATAAACGCGTGTAAATAGACTGGTACCCGCGTTAATTGTATCCTCAACCAATCAGCTCCCCTCTTTCCCCCTCCAGCTCCTACCAGAAATTCAACCAATCAAGCTCCCTGCAGTCACGAAAGCTTTAAATAGAAATTTGAGGGGGGGAGGGTTTGAGAAACGTCACTTCACATCAAAATGCGCAACTTTAAATAAATGTTAATCAAATATAATTGTTATAACACTAATTTTGATACATTTTCGTGATTAACTATTTGATTATTTAAATTGACTAAGGTCACATTTTATTTACTCCATGAAGGAGCATTCTGCTTCTCCATGGGAGAATGGAGAAGCATACATTTTGTACATTTTTAGAATGATTGTTATTAAACATTTAGATTTTAATGATTCTACCAGGGCTTTTCATTCTGTGAAATGAATATGTGATTGTTATAATTGGACTCGCAATTTTGCTTTGTTCTACTACAAAGTTTGAAGTATTTTTTTATAGCTAGAATTAATTTTATTAATTTATAAATATAAGAGAATTTCAATAAAATATTCTGAACATCTGCAGTTTTGTTAGACGTTTAATATTTTCAAGTGAATTTCATGCAAAATTTCAGCTTTCCAGCGCCTCCGTTTTAATAAATGTTTTCTCCTACAACATCAGAGTGCAGCGCCACATTAAATACGGACTACAATGACAATAGTTTAAAGCGATTTGAAGCATTTTTTTTTATTGGAAATATGGTTTCGGGGGGGAGCAGAGCTTTGTGAGGGGGGTTTGAATGTCTGTGACGCCGTGTGAAGAGGGGGGAAGGGGGGGTCAAAAATCGGCCAAAATCGCGTGACGTCATTAATGGACGCCCCCTTATCACACTATCGATTGATGCTTTATCAGAATATCGATTGATGCATTATCAGAATATTGATTTTCTTGCGGTCTTTCCCCTCCACATTTCGAAGCCACACGTTTAGAGTATTTTTGGAGTGTGTGTCTGCTGCTATCAATGTCCACGTGGTGATGATGATATCAGACACGTGACTGAGCTGCTGTCACTAGTGATGTCCCAGCTCGCTTCTGATACAATATCTACACAGCAGCTCAGTGGGTGCTTACACCTGGTGACACAAACTTAGTTTAGTTGTAGTGTGGGGCTCTGTGGGTCTCTATGAGTGTGGGTCTCTGTGGGTCTCTATGGGTCTCTATGAGTCTCTGTGGGTCTCTATAAGTATGGGTCTCTGTGGGTCTCTATGAGTATGGGTCTCTGTGGGTGTCTATGTGTCTCTATGAGTATGGGTCTCTGTGGGTCTCTATGAGTATGGGTCTCTGTGGGTGTCTATGTGTCTCTATGAGTGTGGGTCTCTGTGGGTCTCTATGAGTATGGGTCTCTGTGGGTGTCTATGTGTCTCTATGAGTATGGGTCTCTGTGGGTCTCTATGGGTCTCTATGAGTATGGGTCTCTGTGGGTCTGTATGGGTCTCTGTGGGTATGGGTCTCTGTGGGTATCTATGGGTCTCTATGAGTATGGGTCTCTGTGGGTCTCTATAAGTGTGGGTGTCTGTGGGTCTCTATGAGTATGGGTCTCTAAGTATGGATCTCTATGAGTCTCTATGAGTATGGGTCTCTATGGGTCTCTATGAGTATGGGTCTCTGTGGGTCTCTATGGGTCTCTATGAGTATGGGTCTCTGTGGGTCTCTATGGGTCTCTATGAGTATGGGTCTCTGTGGGTCTCTATGAGTATAGGTCTCTGTGGGTCTCTATGGGTCTCTATGAGTATGGGTTTCTGTGGGTCTCTATGGGTCTCTATGAGTATGGGTCTCTGTGTGTCTCTGTATGGGTCTCTATGAGTATGAGTCTCTGTGGGTCTCTATGAGTATGTGTCTGTATGGATGTCTATGACATCCAACCAATCAGCTCCCTTCTAGATGTAAAGTTTTCGTGACTGCAATAATCCATACTCTTTGGTTCTTTCGGTAAAGTCACGTAGATGAAAAATATAAATATATAAATAAAAGCAAATTTTTATCACGACGTTTCGATTGCAACACGAGCAAGCATCATCAGGTGTGGCAACCACAGCAAGACATTTTTACTGAAGTGGGAGAGATGCCGGAGTGAGGAAGGCTTCATAAGGCAGAGATGGCGGTAGAGGTGGGGGGGAGAGAACAGGGAGTGAGTTGAGCTTTGCGTGTTCGCTAGGGAATGGGACGAGAGACGCGGGGGAGGGGGGGGCTAGAAGTTGAAGGCTGATTCCTAGAGATGAGAGGGGGAGAAAAACGGCAACACGATTGCTGCCAAGATAGATGATGGTGGAGCCCAAAAAAACAAAATAGTCGCACTGCTGAACGCTGAGGATACAATTTACTCGGTAAAATAAAAGCGTGTAAAAATCTTCTTGGTTCTTTCGGTAAAGTCACGTAGAAGGGAAATAATAAAATAATAAAAATAAAACATGATTAAATAATTCTCACGACGTTTCGGCCACAACGCAAGCAGCCGTCCTCAGGTGAAGAACAGGTCTGTCGGGAAGACAGCGTGTAAAAAGTTTAAAAATCTATATTTTGGATTTTTTATGATAGAATATCGTGTTGTCATCAGTATGACATACCTATACGAAGTTTGCAGTCGATAGCACATTGGTAAGTGTGTAAAAATTGAGTTACAATATTTTTTTTTTGAGGATACAACAGACGAAGTGAGTTAAATAAACGCGTGTAAATAGACTGGTACCCGAGTTAATTGTATCCTCAACCAATCAGCGCCCCTCTCTCCCCTCCAGCTCCTCCCAGAAATTCAACCAATCAGCGCCCCTCTCTCCCCTCCAGCTCCTCCCCGAAATTCAACCAATCAGCGCCCCTCTCTCCCCCTCCCCGCAAATCTCAACCAATCAGCGGGGGGGGAGGGTGTGTGTTTGTCACGTGACTGACCAGCGGACGATATAGGCGTGCGGCCTTGTCAGCCTCCCCTCACACCTAGGCCTGAGGTCGGGCCTGGGTGAGAGAGAGAGCTGTGGATGTCGCACTTTTTTATTTAAAATTTTTTAAATAATAATTATCATTATTTTGAACAAGTTTAAAGCTCCACACTGTTTTAGTGCTTTTTGTGTTCCAACGAGACGCAGAGTACTAGCGAGATCTCGGCGGATGTATCAAGGTGCGTGTGTTATAGCGTATCTGTGTGTTGTGTGTCTATGCGTGTGTGTGTCTGTGTGTCTATGTCTGTGTGTGTGTGTCTGTCTGTGTGTCTATGTGTTGTGTGGGGAGTTGGCACAGTAGTGGGCACAGGTGGTGCATCAGTCAGTCATCTCGGTCAGTCGACCCGTGGCACCTGCTGGGTCTGCCCCGTGAACTCCTGCCAGCGGGCGTTCGACACAACGTGGCCTCAAGGTGCACCTAGCCTGGCACAAGCGTCGTAGTGACGGTTGTTGTGGGGAGCGGTGGGTGTAGTGGTTAGCGCTACGCTGCGCTACGAACCCGGCGACCTGAGCTCGATTCCGGCTCACGGCCAACACCGGTGACAATTATCTGAACCGGTTCTGGGCCTCCCCTAGGTCGACTCAGCCTCAGATGAGTGCCTGGTGTAGCGGTGTAGCGTAGTGAACATCGCTAGCACTGGGGAGACAAAGGCGGCCGGGCGTGGTGCTGGCCACCCACCCCCTCTGTGTGTGCCGTGCCGGCCTTCATAGGTGCCGCTCGCTAACAGCACTTGCCCCTACAGTCTGTTACAGGCTACACGGGGGATCTTTGTCTCTGTGAATCCAGGTGCACCTAGCCTGGCACCAACGTCGCAGGTTGTTAAGGGGGGGGGGGCGCAGCGGTGAGTGGCCACGTGGCGTGTCATTTAAACTCCCACCGACACGAAGACAAAGCTCCCCCAGGTAGCCTCTAGCAGGGCTGCAGGGGCAAGTGCTGTTAGTAGCGAGTGGCAGCAGCAGCGCCTATGGAGGCTACCGGCACTGTGGCTACACACAGAGGGGGTGGGTGGACAGCACCACGCCCGGCCGCCTTTGTCTCTCCCCAGTGCACAGACACCCACCCACTCACTCACCCACTCACTGACCCACTCACCCACTCACTCACTGACCCACTCACCCACTCACTCACCCACTGACCCACACACTCACTAACCCACTCACTGACCCACCCACCCAATCACTGACCCATCCACTCACCGACCCACTCACCCAATCACTGACCCACTCACTCACTGACCTACTCACCCACTGACCTACTCACTCACCCACTCACTCACTGGCCCACTCACCCACTGACCGGCCCACTCACCCACTGACCCACCCACTCACTCACCCACCCACCCACTGACCCACTCACCCACTTACTGACCCACTCACTGACCCACTCACTCACCCACCCACTCATTCACTGACCCACTCACCCAACCACTCACTCACCCACCCACTCATTCACTGACCCACTCACTGACCCACTCACTCACCCACCCACTCATTCACTGACCCACTCACCCACCCACCATCTCATTCAAAGACAAAGCTCCTCCAGGTAGCCTCTAGCAGGGCTGTAGGGGCAAGTGCTGTTAGTAGCAGCAGCAGCAGCAGCGCCTGTGAAGGCTACCGGCACTGTGGCACACACACACAGAGAGGGTTGGTGGCCAGCACCACCACGCCCGGCCGCCTTTGTCTCTCTGGTGTACTGGTGTGTAAGCTGGTGTGTCACTGAGTGTATCACCCATACGGATACACAGACACTAATTAACTGACACACTCACTGACTGGCACATTGACTGATACTATTATAGGTAAGATACATTGGTGTATGTTACGTAATATCAAATATGCTCAAAATGTCCCCCCCCCCCCCCCCCCCCCAATATATTGCTATAAAAATAAACAATTGCTCTGCTATGTAAATAAAAAGAACAATTTGCTAAACCTTGGCCACAATATCTGGACTTGTCTTCACATAAATCCATGCATAGATTTCTGTTGATATGATTGTGGTTATGGTTGTACTTTATTAATCCCTAATCTATTGCCATTACGTACAATGAATCAAGAAATAATGTAAAACAAAGTAAAAACAGAGCAATGTGATACAATACACTGTTAGACATTGTCAAAAATAAATCAAAAGTATCTTGAGACTTGACTCCAGTAATGACGACGACGACGATGACGATGACAATGACGACGATGACAGACCTGTGCAGTTCGATGAATGTGATGATGAATGATGATGATGATGGTGTTACTGCACAGGTATAATGAGGCCTTTAAATCAGTTCGAAAAATCCGCGATGCACTGAGGCCGCGAAACTTGAACCGCGAAGTGGTGAGGGATTACTGTAGTTTTCTAATTTTAGATATTTTTCTGGGTTGAGACCAGGGTTGCGATTTCCGCATGGAAAATGCGGAAGGAGGGTTCAAATTTTCCCGCATTTTTGCTAAAGTCAACCGCAAACGGTGGAAAGACTACTCCCATGACCGCGCGCTTTTAACAACACGTTAATGCGTTCTATTGGAAAGGATACATGCAAGGCCCAGCATCACGTAGGGCTTTGAGTTACTGATTGGAATGAATATATGATTTCCGCATTTCCGCACAAGAACCACATACTTTATTCAAATGCGGAGCCGTGATTACGAGCACATGTACATGATGTATCCTTTCCAATAGAACGCATTAACGTGTTGTTAAAAGCGCGCGGTCATAGGAGTAGTCTTTCCACCGTTTGCGGTTGACTTTAGCAAAAATGCGGGAAAATTTGAACCCTCCTTCCGCATTTTCCATGCGGAAATCGCAACCCTGGTTGAGACCTCCAGACACCCTGGAAGATTTGGTCCCCCCCAATGTTGACTCCATGGCTACAGCCTTGCATACTATGTACACATAGGTACACGTACATTGATGGGTGTTGTGTACATGGTCTGCTGTGGGTGGTGTAGATGCTTTGGCAGAGACGGAGCTGAACAGTTCCAACTTCGCAGTGAAAACACAAAGCAGATGTCATCCTCCGTAGAATCGCCACTGCGAGCATCATCAACATCTCCGCCATCATCACCAGGAACACCATCACCACCATCACCGCCACCATCGCAACCACCACGAACACCATCATCAACATCGTCAACATCACCACCATCACCACCATCACCACCACCATCACCACCACCATCACAACCACCACAAACACCATCATCAACATCGTCAATGCTACAGCCCCCTCCACCGCTACGAACATCACCACCACCAGCACCACCGTCACCACCACCACCGTCATCACCACCACCACGACAAACATCGACGCCACGGCCATCGCAGCCACCATCACCACGATCGCCGGCACCACCACCACCACCGATGTCTTCCTCCTCCTGCTCGACGTCCCCTCCGGCACCACCGCCACCACCACCGCCGTCACCGCCGGACTGCACGCCGGCGTGCCGCTCCCACCGGCACGGCGGGGCTCTCTACCGGGTGGCCAGCGGCGGCGTCGGCGTCACCGGGTTGCGACCGGCGGCGGTGGCCGCCCTGTGCCGGCGCCTGTGCGCCAACGCGGCGAGCTGCGCCGACTCCCGGGGACGCACGGCGCTGCACGGCGCGGCCACGCGGTGGCAGGGGGGGGCGGGAGGTGGTGGTGGTGACGGTGGTGGTGGAGGTGGTGGTGGAGGTGGTTGTGGTGCATCGGAGCTGGTGTCCCGGCTGGTGAGACGCAGCAAGAATGGGAGAGGTAAGGCGGTGTGGGTCACGGTGTCCGTGTGTGCGTGTTCACTGTGTGTGTGTGTGTGTACATCTGTGTGTGTGTGTGTGTCACTGTGTGTGTGTGTCTGTGTGTGTCTGTGTGTGTGTGTGTCACTGTGTGTGTGTGTCTGTGTGTTTGTCATGGTATGTGTGTGTCTGTGTGTGTGTGTGTTCACGGTGTGTGTGTGTGTCACTGTGTATGTCTGTGTGTGTCTCTGTGTGTGTGTGTATGTCTGTGTATGTGTCACTGTGTGTGTGTGTCACTGTGTGTGTGTGTCACTGTGTGTGTGTGTCACTGCGTGTGTGTCACTGTGTGTCTCTCAGCTGCACTGGAGATGCAGCACGTGGAGTCTGGTTGGACTGCGCTGCACGGTGTGTGTCACTGTGTGTGTGTCACTGTGTGTGTGTCTGTGTGTGTGTCACTGTGTGTGTGTCTGTGTGTGTGTCACTGTGTGTGTCTGTGTGTGTCTCAGCTGCACTGGAGATGCAGGACGTGGAGTCTGGTTGGACTGCGCTGCACCGCAGCGTCTACTACGGCAACATCGACGTCGCACAGACCCTGCTGCAGGTGACCATCGTGGCAGCAGCAGCAGCAGCAGCTGCAGCAGTATCAGCATCATCAGCAGCAGCATCATCAGCATGAGCAGCATCAGTATGAGCAACAGCATCAGTATGAGCAGCAGCATCATCAGCAGCATCAGAAGCATCGTCATCAGTATGAGAAGCAGCAGCATCATTAGTCTGTTACAGGCTACACGGGGCATCTTTGTGCGTGTGTCTGTGTGTCTCTGTGTGTGTGTGTGTCTCTGTGTCTCTCTCTGTGTGTTTGTCTGTGTGTCTCTGTGTGTGTTTGTCTGTGTGTCTCTGTGTGTGTTTGTCTGTGTCATTGTGTGTGTCTGTGTGTGTGTCTCTGTGTGTGTGTCTGTGTGTGTGCATGTCTGTGTGTGTCTCTGTGTGTTGTGTCTGTGTGTGTGTCTGTGTGTCTCTGTCTGTGTATCCCTGTGTGTCCCTGTGTGTGTGTATCTATATGTGTCTGTGTGTGTCTCTATGTGTGTGTGTCTGTATGTGTCTGTGTGTGTCTCTGTGTATGTGTGTGTCTCTGTGTGTCTGTGTGTCTCTGTCTGTGTGTCTCTGTGTGTGTGTCTCTGTGTGTGTGTCTTTGTGTGTC